CGAAAAAAAACAAAAAAGGAAAAAAAAAAAAAAAAAAAGAAATTGCTTGCTAAGAATAGAGAAATAGAACGATAAATACTCCAGGAATCTCATTGGTCTTTTCCTTTTCTACCTGTTACTGGATGTGCTAATCACCATGGAAGTGAGATTTCCAGACCTGAGTGCTGAGCAGTTCTCCAAGCATCTACACCAGACTGCACCCTTCTCAGGGTCATCACTGAGGGAGTCTAAGGTTCCACCTGGAGGCCAGCAGTGGCTCAGCTGCTCTCACCACAATTTCCCCAGCTGAGCCCATGCAAACGCACCCCATTCCAAGGCTTTATCTGAGGGGTCCAGGCATGGCACTACGAGTCCATGGCTCTTTCTATAGTGACAGTTCCCTTAACATGTTGTGGTTAGAAGTGTGATATGTCTGTCTTGTTCCATTTCTTGGACTTGGGATCTCTGGAAACATTCAAGCTACATAGTGTCCTAGGAAGCCACATTAACCCCTTGGGGTTGCCTGGCCAGAGCTCTGGGACCTAATTGGTGTGAGTGGCCAAGGCACAATGCACCCATACAACTGTTCTTTGGAAAGCTGCCTGGTTAGTATGCCCCTGAGACACGCTTGCTCCTGCTTCCCCAGTCTCTTTGTGATACGATTATAGGCCATTAAGACATTAATACATTAGCATCTCTGCAAGACCATATTTTAGATAAGTTTCAAAAAGTGGCTGTTTTTCATTCTGTTAGAACTTTAGGCTGTTGTGGCCTCCAAGTGCCCCAGCAGGTCTGGCAAAGGCCTCTTCGTCAGTCCTTACAGCAGTTAGTCATGTGCCAAGTGCAGTTAGTCTATGAAAACCCATCTTTAGTCTCTTCCTCTGCACCTCCCCCCAGCCCTGAGCACACAGAAGAAGGAACCGGCCCAGAGGCACAGAACAGAAAGAAGTCAATAACCTTCATTCTTTTTTTCATTTATACTGCTCAGGTGAATTGGGTCCTCTGCAGGGCTGTAACATGAGTATCAGCTGAGTTCAGGGTGATGACATGTCATTGGTCTTACAGGATGCTCAGCTGGGAATCTGCAGTGATTTTTTTTTTCTTTCTCTATTTTCATTATTTCTTTGTTCTTCATTTTTTTCTTTTTTGTCTTCCTTTTCCTTTTTTTTTCCCCCACAAACTCTTGTGTGAGGGGCTGACTCAATAGATTGCAGGGAGGGGGCTGCTCTGCNTGCCTGGTTAGTATGCCCCTGAGACACGCTTGCTCCTGCTTCCCCAGTCTCTTTGTGATACTATTATAGGCCATTAAGACATTAATACATTAGCATCTCTGCAAGACCATATTTTAGATAAGTTTCAAAAAGTGGCTGTTTTTCATTTTGTTAGAACTTTAGGCTGTTGTGGCCTCCAAGTGCCCCAGCAGGTCTGGCAAAGGCCTCTTCATCAGTCCCTACAGCAGTTAGTCATGTGCCAAGTGCAGTTAGTCTATGAAAACCCATCTTTAGTCTCTTCCTCTGCACCTCCCCTCAGCCCTGAGCACACAGAAGAAGGAACCGGCCCAGAGACACAGAGCAGAAAGAAGTCAATAACCTTCATTCTTTTTTCATTTATATTGCTCAGGTGAATTGGGTCCTCTGCAGAGCTGTAACATGAGTATCAGCTGAGTTCAGGGTGATGACATGTCATTGGTCTTACAGGATGCTCAGCTGGGAATCTGCAGTGATTTTTTTTTTTCTTTCTCTATTTTCATTATTTCTTTGTTCTTCATTTTTTTCTTTTTTGTCTTCCTTTTCCTTTTTTTTTCCCCCACAAACTCTTGTGTGAGGGGCTGACTCAATAGATTGCAGGGAGGGGGCTGCTCTGCTATGTAGGAAACCCGACCCAGAAGTAGGTGGTCTAGGAGTGGTTTAGCACCAGTTTTCCCACCGACGTGTGTTGCATCATGGGCAAAAGGGCAGCCCCCTTTCTGGCATGCCCCATTTTCCAGGACAAGGGGCTCTCAGCACCAGACACCGATCCCAGCATGTCACGGCCTGCTGGTGGGGATGGCTATCCCAGGCCACCCGAGGCTCTGCGGCGCTGCGGTGCGCAGTAATTCTCAGACACACAGCATGATAGTTGGTTGTGCATATAGGATCTCTATTTGCTGTTAGCTATCCAGCCAGAGCTGTTTCTTTCTAGTGTTTTCTCCAATTAGTCCAGGGCTAATTTCTGATCAGAGGGAACACTAACTACTTAACGTCATTCAATAAATGACAGAATCTCTGATGTGTTAGACAAACTTTGGAGCCTTGTATACCATGTCCTTGCTCATGCATCATCTTTACCTAGCTCACTATAAAACAAAACATTCACCAAGCTGTACACTTATGATTTGAGTACTTCACTGAATATTACCTCTCAATACAAATACAAATTTTAAAATAGAATGCCAATAAATTGAGGATAAGTACACTATATCTTGAAAACCAAGTTTTCTAGATGTATGTACCCCTTCATGTTTAGTTTCCATTTATAAGCACTAAGCCTCTGGGAAAAAGACATTACAGCTCGGCCTGTGCGTCACCATGGGCCAATCAAAGCTGCACGCCTGAGCCACAGTAATAGAACCCAGCACTGGAGAGGCTGCAGTGATTTTGAGGGATTTCCCAGGAATTTAGAAACTGCAAAATCTAACTGCCCCTCCTCCTAGAATATTCTCTCTCTGCTGCCAGATGAACAGGATCTGGGTTTCATCTTGTTAATGGTAATGGTGGTTTCTCCTGCAGTCCCTTCTGGGTGTGCTATTGTGACCCAAGCCCCTAACCGCAAGCTGAGAACCGAGATGTCTGCAGTGCTGCCAGAAAGACACACTGAACCATGGAGACAATTAGAGCACACACATGGGATCTAGCCACATCGTGGAACTACTGTCTACCAGTGAACCAGAGGAAGAATGGTATTTGTCCAACTAGCAGTGTGACTTGTGTCACTTCAGGTTTTTAGGCCTATCACATGAAATTTAAGAGAAACTGAAATCCCAAGTGATCAGAGTTATAATATTCTTTGGGCCAGATGGCAGAGATTCTTACAGTCCTTGAAGCCTGGTCTATTTGAAAGTGTCGCCCCTTGGGAGACCTTTATTTGAGTCTGTGCAATGTCATCCGTGCCCAACCCCTGATGAGCCGGCCTTGTCACCATCCAACTCTGCTCACTCCATCGACACCAGAAGCTTAGGGGCGACTGCTGACCCCTTCACATCACTCATGGGCACCACCTAGAACTGGGAGGAAGAGGTGGGGAGGTGGTAATATGAAAGGAGTGGTGTTTTCATCACCTGAGTTATTAGGAAAAAATCTTCATAAAAGTTATTTGTAGCTTGGGGGGTGTTTGCCACTTTCCCCCAAAACTAGAATAAATTTGACTGAATATTAGCAAGTGGAAAAGCCACACTTGTGAATATGAATTTGGTTTGTGGAACTGTGGGCCAGTCAAAGTTGGGGAATGGCAACTGGGTAATTAAAGGGCTC